AAACTGGGAAATTTATAGCTAAAATAATGTATATATCTCAAACCTGCGCTGTCCATATACTGCAAAAGAAATAACATGTTGTTTTGATGGCTGTGAGAAATACTCATTTAAATAACAAAGGGAAAATATACTGGGTCACATCCTTGAGTCTCCCTGAGATACATTTGGTGCAAGCATGGCACTATGGCAACTATGGGAACTGAGGCCAGTTCAGCCCCTGGCACAAATCAAAGCAACCCAGGGTATTTGGGCTGGAGGCAGGAGTAGGTGGTGTACAGGAGCTTTGTGGGCTTTATATCACATGGAGATTTGTGTGTGAGAAGCTGAATTCCATTCAATTTTGAGAAGGGCTCTCTCTTGCTAAAATAGAATTATTTGGTTATGTGCTATTTAAAATAGAGACTGTGCAGATCCTTGCTGCTCCCCCACCTCCCCGCCAGAGTCCCATGACTGTGGCACAGCTCCCCCCCATCCCAACACCCCCGGCCCCAGAGCACATTCTCTTTTGTGTAACACTTTCTCAAGTGTTTTAAGAGCCTTCAAGATATTATACACTGAAGATATTATTGTTAGGCAACATGAAAGAGGAAAGCTTTTGAAATCTTCATAACATGAATCTATAGAAAAACCCTATGATCCTGCCCAAGGACTTGTAAGCACATTCCTGTCATCTGCAAGAAGATAGCAGCGCAAATCATTTTTAAACCATCATGCAAAACAGGGATTAGGGAATAATTCAGTATTAGAATTCTACTGTTTTCGTTTGGGTTAGTGGATAGGAGCGAAGACTTTCAGATCAAGAGCCAATGTGAAATTCAAAAGAGTGGATCATCAAGAGATTCCAGATGAGTCTCAATAAAAACCTGTAAGAGGGGTTGGCTCTTGATCACATCAAGAAGGCCAACCTCAAGAAGCTTCCAACTTTAGGAATGTCCAAATGGGGCATGGGCAAACAAGATTCTGCTTTGTGTAAAATCATCCGGGCCTAGAGAGCCAGAAGGGAAATATTGAAATGATAAATACTTATGTCTCTGTAAATACAAAGCAATAGAGATATTTTTCTGAATAAAGGAGAAATGCAGAAGGATCTCAAACAAATCCAACTGTTCAATTTTAGAGTAACTACTATAAAAATCAGATAGTTCAGGAAAAAAAGAAAAATGTAAGGAACAATTTGGCTACACCAATACACAGTGTTGCCATGACATTCTTGATACCTCTGACAGTTCCACGTGTTAATGTGTATGAAAGATGCTACTTGTGAACTAGATATGACAGAAGATCTTTGTTATGTGATAATTTTCCATTGTGGTACCAATTGTTCTGGACATAAAGATGTAGTGATGGATTCATGGAAGCCGTTTGATATAACTTCTGAGAAAATAATAGCTCTCAGGAGTAATGGAACTCCAACTATGATTGAAAAGAAAAATGACACAGTTACCTTGCTAAAATAAAAACATAACTGATATCAGAAAAGGGTTCGTCCCATGGTGATATATCTATCTATCTTTTCATGCTGCTTTTCCATAAATCAGCTTTCTGTGAAGAATATTAGGTTATTGTAAGTGACATTATTATTATTATTATACCTAGCTCCTATATTGTGTTTTTCATCCATACATATCTAAGTGCTTTACAAAAGAGGTCAGTAACATTATCCTCATTTTACAGGTGAGGCACAGACAGGTTATATGACTTGCTCAATCCACAAGTCTACACTGCCTCTCTCCATAGGTCACACTGGAAAGTGAGCAATGAGTATAGTTAATATATTATTTTGGGTGGAGAGGTTGCTGGAAATAGCAGCTTCTGAGCATGAGACTTGCTCTTGCCCCTTCAAAGGCATATAATAAGGGGATGCATCGTCAAAGCAGACTCATGAGTGTGCTGAGGAAAGGTTATATGGCTTTCACTCATCCAATTATTTTGAGTAATTTCTCCAAGTATAATTCAATTTTCCCTTTCTTAAGAGGAGCTAGGACCTGTGACTGAAGGCAGCAGGCAGTTATGTAATTCAAAAGAGTGGATCAAGTGCAACTTCCCCTTTTTCTCCTCAACTTTGAAAATAAAGAATCACTTCCATAACATGCTCAACTCCTACTACTTACTTTTCTGAGGAGTTAAGAGTCTCAAGGCTGGATCAGCACACATGGGCTCCTGGACACATTTCTTTGCCCTATACACTAAGACATCAGGCTAGATTGATTAATCATTATTTCAATAAAGTCTTAGGAATGACCGCAATTTAAAGCCATTGTATCAAAAATATAACACTCATTCAATGCACATGCTGAAGTCAGATGGCTGTCCAAGGATGCATTTCTTGAGGATGGCATCATTTGGCTCCTATATAATCATGTTTTAAAAAAGCATTTAAATGAGGTAAATCTGAAATTGCAAGGGAGCATGATTTGCATTCTGACCCCAAAGCCTTTTCCTGCAGGCTCCCTCTGTTCCATTAGAATGCACAGAATGGCAAACATCCAGTTTTCCCACACATCTAGAACACCATCCTGCAAAATCCTGATGGGGTCTCTTATCAGCGAATCTTCCTTGAGGTACTGTACTCCATGATAGGATGACCGCCACCATTCTGTGTAGCAGCTCAGAGACCAAACCATTCATCATTTGCACTGGTGTCAAGCAGGGCTGTGTCACTGCTCCAACACTCTTCTCCATTTACCTTGCCGGGCTCCTGTTTCTCATCTATGACCACCTTCCTGATGGAATAGGGATTGAGTATCATATCCTCAGTCTCTAACATCTCCAAACAAAATCTAAGATCATGAGAATTGGCATAACTGATCTTCAGTATGCAGATGATTGGGTCATTCTCCCACACATAGAGGCTGACCTGCAAAGTACCCTAAATCTTTTTGCAGATGCCTATCACAGCCTGGGTCTCTCTCTCAACATTGGGAAAACCAAGGTATTCTACCAACCCTCACCTGCACAAACTACACTTTGAACGTCACAAATCACCATCAGTGGAGAACCCCTGGTAAATGTGGAGCATTTTTCATACCTTGGCAGCCACCTCTCCAAAACAGCCAGTATTGATACAGAAATCAAATACAGGATGTGCTGGCACAGCACATCCTCTGGAAGAGTATTCAAACACGTCTTCAATGACAGGGATCTGCAAACAGGTACCAACATCTTGGTTTACAATGCGGTTGTCATCCCCACCCTTCTCTATGGGTGTGAGACCTGGGTGACCTACAGACGACATCTCAAGCAGCTCGAGTGGTTCCAGCAGCGCTGCCTCAGGAGGATTCTCAGGATCAGCTGGGAAGTCTGACGCACTAACATCAGCGTTCTCGCTGCAGCCATCAGCAGGTCATGAAACACCGACTCCGCTGGGCTGTCCACTGTGCACGTAGGGCTGAAATTCGCCTCCCAAAGCAAGTACTCTTCTCTCAGTTAAGTCAGGGAAGAAGGGCTCACAGAGGGCAGTGGAACTGCTTCAAAGACATACTGAAAGTAGACCTTAAAAGGGGAGGCATCAACCAACAAACTGGGAGGACCCGGAATGAAACAGAACACAGCGGCACCTCACTATACACGAAGCCACAGCTCACTTTGAGGAGAACGGACATGCTCGTGAGACAGAGAAATGACAAAAGAAGAAAGAAAGGGAACAACACTCCAGCCAACAACTATGTCTCCTCCAAGATTACATCTGTCACTTCTGTTGGAAAATCTGCAGGGCATGAATTGAGCTCCTCAGCCACTTAAAAACCAACCAATGAAGCCCCTTGGCAGACATCATCCTCGCATCGAGGTATAGCCGAAGAAGATGACTTTAAAAATGAGAAACAGGTCCATGTTTTCAAGTAATCAAAGAGAATGTTACTTCCTAGGGGGAAAACTTTTTGCCATGATGAAAGTGAATGAATGGAAGAGAGGCATTCAAAGGTATAAGTTCCTCCAGAACTCCCCACGGAGTTTGTGGAGATAAAAAGCTCAGAAGACAGTAAAGACAACTGAAAGTCAAATAGGCAGAAGTTATTTAAAAATAATGGATTAGAGAATAAAGTCTGGGAGAAGAGTATTATATCATAACAGCACAACTGAGGTGAGATGTAAAGCTGAAGGCCAACTGCCTGTTACCACAAAACAAAGGTAATTATGAAATGCATGCCCCATAGGGCTTACTGAGATTATGCTATTATAGAAAGAGACAAGGACATAAAAATTCATATCAAAGGGTTAGATTGTGCCTAGCCTTGCACAGCTGCACAGAAAAAGTGGGAGTTGGGATTGTGGGGGAGGAAGAGGAGGGCACAAAGAAACTTTCCTCATAAATGTGCTCCTGAACAGAGACCTGGCATAATTGCAGTCCTTTTATTGTAGGCTTAAAAGGGCTGGGGCACTTTAGCACTGACAGCAGCCCTAGAAACATCATACAGGGTGGGGAAGGGCAATTGCAAAAGCATAAGCCCAGCCAATAGAGCTGGATCAGAGTGAGAGAAAGTTCCCACTGCAACCTATTAAAAGGCGTAGCCGATGTTACCTTTGCATACGCTTATGGAGACCTCATGCCTGCCTCATCATATTCTCTTCATCCCCAAGGTGGGAAATGGGATAAAAACACAATCTAGTCCATTGCTCGCATTCTGGAACTAAAATGTCACCTTAAATTCATGGTGAAAATATAAAATAAATGTAGCAATGACATTTCAATACCATGAAACTTCTCTCAGGCATGATTTGTAAAGTTAACAGTGGAGCATTATTCTGATATCTAAGTTTAAGATGTTATTCTTGTGCGGGTGCTATTCTATAACTGCATGGCTAGAATCACTATATGTCAATCTGGTGGCTCAAGTTTACAGTGCCACTATCTAGTAAGGTTTCCTCTATGCTGTAAGTGGTCAGAAAAGTAACTTTACCTTTCTAACTCATTTATGGATATGCCATTGCTTTTCCTCCTCTTTCACAAATAAAACAAGTGTAACTGAGCTATAATATAACCCTGGAAGGACCGCACTGCTATGTTTGTCACCAATCCTGACCTCTCAGAAATTGCCTCATATATGAAATAAATCATTTATCACAAAATGGAATGAATCCCTTTAGTATGTCACAGTTTCATAAAACCGTCCTAGCCTATACCATGCAGGATTGTCTTGTGATTAAGGCACTGGAGTAGGATTTGGGAAACCTGGATTGTATTCCTGACTCTACCATAAACTTTCAGTGTGACCTTAGGAAAACCAATTAATCTTGCTGACTTAGTTTCTGTAAAAACAGAAATAACACTTCCCTACTGTACATGAATGATGTGAGGACACAATTTATTAAAGCAATTGAGGTGCTCATTTACTACAGTAATGAGTACCATAAAAAAAGAATATAAATAAACTAAAAGTAGAACTCAACAGCAGAAATATTCCTACTTCTGACTATATATCTAAACATCTAAACCCAGTCAGGACCAGTCTTTACATTTCCTTTCACATTACTTTTCTATACCAACATCCCTGTATAATACTTTGGAAGGACCAATAGCTCACAAGCCCCTTTGGCCAAAAAAGAACTAGTATGACTGGTTCACAGGTCAGAAGCAATTTGATAAACAGTGGTTAAAGGAACACAGCAAAGGCAGCTTCCATCTTTTGAATGAGTGTTTTTCACTTCTGCTACTTCAGATATTTTTCAAACTTGCTCCTTTGTGAATATCAGTGAAGCGCTCACCTGAGCTGGGTTTGTCTGTTTTGGAACTGCGTACAGTATTGAATTATATAAATAATTGAGGGAACTGAAGGACAGACAGATTATAGTTATATAAATAAGGAAAGTACTAAAAGTGTGTCCTGATTGTTTTCCAAAAATTACACAAACGTTTCAGGTGTTATTTTTGTAGTAAAGTTGGGGATGAGAATGTGGGAACATAAGAGAAAATGCTTTTAAATACATTATAAAACATTTTTTTCTAAATTATATTGTGGTTCTTTCACTTTTACACTTCATCTGCATTTTCAGCCATCATCAGACTGCTGAAAATGTCCTTTCAGTCTCATAGCACACTGAATGGATCAATATAATTTACACTAAGTATGTTACATTGCTGACACAGCAGCAACAGAAAATTTTGGATTAATTTTCACAGGACTAGAAGTGAAAAAGTGAATTTTCAGTATAGTCAGTCTGTCTACCCATCTAAGAAATATTTCACAGTAATCACGTCTCTCCACACCATATTGCTTCCCCCTTAGAAAAACATTATTTTCTGCCAATTGTACTATAAAGATACATGAGAATCTTCAGCACAAATTTGCGACACAATGTAACTACACCAAAGAGAAGCTGCTAAAAGCCACAAAGGCATGACATCTACCATGACTGAATAAATTAAACAAATCATGTATTGTTACCATGTCTTTTAAAAACAACCAGACCGAAAAAAAACCAACCAACCAACCACTGCCAGACGCTTCAGCACTACCACAGGTACCAAGTATATTTTCCAATATACTTCTAAAGGCAGAGAAGTCCTGCAATGCTAGAAACTCTACCAACAGTCTCCACTTACCATTGCTTTGATTTTCTGTTTACTGTAATTAACTGATAACATTTGTTCACTTTCAAAATATTGGTAGAATTACAATATTTCCTGAGGCAGAGGAAATGAGATTTCCAAGGCAAACTGCTGGCTACTTAAGATAACTAGACTGGTGGCACTGACATACATACTAAATTACGTGAGACTAGAAGTGTACAGAATTAAACAGACAGAATACAAGTAGTCCATGAACACTCTCACCCACTGCTTCATGGGGAATATGGACAAGAGAGACTTTTAAAAGGTGTCATGTAGAACAATGAAGCCCCATATAATTTTAAAAATATAAACCATACACAAAGACTACTTTTCAAGAAACAATTATTGCTAAAGGTATACTTGCAAGGAGTAGCATGTAAATGCTTTGTGGCAGGGAATGCCTTTTTGTTCTGTTTGTACAGCACCTAGCACAATGGTGCCTTGGTCTATGACCGGGACTCCTAAATGCTATGATAACACCAATAAACAACCACAACCATTTCCCAGACAAACCTTGAACTCAATGATGAGAACGAGACCTTGATGTGAAGCATCATGCGACTCCAGAGAGGGTTTTTAAGAAAGATTTTCAATGCCAAAGTATGTGTGAAATAGAGACTCTTTGAAAACCATAATCTTGGGAGTTTTGGTAGAAAGAAAGCAGAGAAGAGTAGTTTTAAGAGGACAGATCATTCAGAGTTTAAGATGCTAGCCTGGGACTCAGGAGACCAAGGGTTCAGTTCCCTGCTCTGCCTCAGACTTCTGCTGTGACCTTGGACAGGTCACAGTCTCTCTAGGTATATGCTGTAATAAAACACTGCAGCTAGCCCGTGTCACTTGACTCAGGCTCATGGGGCTCAGGCTGTGTGGCTAAAAAATTGTACTGTAAATGTTTGGGCTCAGGCTTGGGTCCCAGAGTCCAGGCTCCAGCACAAGCCTGAATGTTTACATTGCAATTTTATAGCCCTGCAGCCTGAGCCCAAGTCAGCTGACACGGGCCATCTGTGGGTGTTCTATTACAATGTAGACATACCCCCTGTGTCTCAATTCCCTAGCTTAAAAAATGGAGATAACTCTACTTCCCTATCTGAGGTGCTCAGTTACTATGGTGTTTGGGCTACCTGAGTAACAGATTAATCGTTGATATGGGGGTGTGTGAATCTACAGTGTGGGGGGCAACAGAAGTAAACATGCAGAACTACTATATATAGAAAGATAGACAAGCTTGAATGCTTCAGATCAAGGGTAAGATTAATTCCTGAAAAAAGAAAAGGAGTACTTGTGGCACCTTAGTGACTAACCAATTTATTTGAGCATAAATATTTGTTGCATCCAATGAAGTGAGCTGTAGCTCACGAAAGCTTATGCTCAAATAAATTGGTTAGTCTCTAATGTGCCACAAGTACTCCTTTTCTTTTTGCGAATACAGACTAACATGGCTGCTATTCTGAAACCTGCCATTAATTCCTGAGAGTGTGATGTTAGCTTTGAAACAATCTGGTTTCCCCAATAAGAGACAGGTATATTGAACAAATTAAAGCCATGGGTGTCAAAGTGGTATTAAGAGAAAACACAGAGCCTAGTTCTGCATCATTGAGTAGCATTTACTCCTGCAAGTAGTCCCAGTGAAGACTGCAGAATTGGTACCACTGAAAACAATTCAGAATGAGAAACCAGATGAAACCTCTTTGTTCTCTCCTTCAACCTACGTATCAAGAAAAATCAAGAAATGTCTAGGATCTTCTATAAGAGGGAAAAAAAAGAGGGGGTTGCCAGAAAATTAAACCAATGTAAAGCTTTTTGATGATTAGATGGATTTCACTAGCTGTCTGATGTGTTCTGTAAGGATGTCTTTCAGTGTTCCAGTGACCCAGGAGGTGACACTAGAATGTCAACACTGTCCCTAGCAGCTGTATAATCTGAAACTATGACCTGAGCAGGACATGTGAAAACACAAATTATTAAATGATGGTGTTTCCACTTTACAATTCTTAACAGATTTTAAACATATATTGTCATTCTGTGGTTCTGATTGGATAAAGTGATAATTATTGCCATGAGTCAAATATGATAGGTCAGTTTCTCCTGCAAAAATTGTCATCATAGCACATTTCTACCACAAACGCATTTGTGTTTCATCTTCAAAGGGTTTTGCAAACATTAACAACCTAACTCTCACAATGGCCCTGAGATCTATAGAATATAGATATCAGGACATTTTTATTTCTGAAGCCTGAAAAAATATGTTAGAATTAAGTAATATGTGCAAATACACCCAAATACACACACTATGATCCTGAAATCCTTTAGGCAGATGAAATATTAATTGAAATTAAAAGGAGTTTTGTCTAAGGACTGCAGGGTTGAGCCAATGCAGGATTAGGCTGACAGCATATATAAATACAGAACTCAGTTCCCTCTCCACTCTCCCTCAAAACTCCTTCAAGTGTTCAAGAGAAATTTCTTGCTGGGACAAAACTGAAAACAGAATAATTTTACACAAAGAAATATACTTTGCCAGCATCTCCTTTTGTATTGTTGATTCCTGCAGATATTTCTGTTAGCAGGTGAACCAGGTACTGCAGGAGAAAGCCGTTACCAGCTTAATTCTGCAATGAAGTTATAATCCTGTGCTTATGACCTCACAGGGTTTTGCTATGATAATGCCTACTTTAGCATCACAAACTGAGCATTTTGAATTCAACAAAAACTGAAGCAGAGGGAGAACGCAGTTAATGAGAGATGGCCTTCCCTTCAACAGAAATGTTTGTTACGCAAGCAAGCAAAAATATGAAATGCATGTGAAAGGTGAACGGTTTTTGGCTTCGGAGTCATAATATTTGGAAACTTCTCAAGTAACAAAGGCATACTGTATTTAACTCTAGAGCCTTAAACAAGTCTCAATCATTTAAAAGGGGGGAAATTAACAAATAAACACTAGAGGGAGCTGCTGTTCTATTTAAGCAGCTTCTTGGCTTTACTGTTTTCAGCATAAATTGTTATGCATTGAAGTGTGACAAGTATGAGCACACAGCTCAGCTGTCTAATACTGAAATAAAGGAACAATACTAAAAAACAGTATCAGGGAGCAAGGACCAAAATCAAGACTTCTGCACCAGGAGTGAATAATACATTTTACAACTACACACTGTTTAATAAACACTTTAAAAATACTCAAAGGGGAAAACAGAATATCATCTGGGGGAGATAAGATGACAAAAATCTTCTTTTATAACCCATTAATAAAAATTCTCACTGACATCAATGGAGGCTAGATTTACCCCAGAGAATACATGAAGCAAAAAAGAAAGACACCTAAAAGGGGATGAGCAGAAAATGTCTCTTTATTGAATACTCCAGCTAAAAAATGTAATGATTTGCCTTTCTAGTACTGACATAATTTTAATCTAGACTGTATAGTAGGTTGTAAGGGAATATAAACTCACTCCAAGTACAGATTTTATAAAAATAATAATACAGAATTTAGGCATTGAACAAATTAGTGAGCCACAGATGAGAGAGTTAGGAGTCACCAGGCTAGATTCACAAGGCGGTGAAAAGAGAGTGTAAACTAGCATAATTTACACCTTCTTCTGGCTCTCCAGATATACAAATAACACTCATTTAGACTAATATGCACATCTCTTATCAGTGTACAATTTATAGTCTGTATACATCATTTCAATTTGGTCCCGCTAGCCTATTACCCTGCACTACTTTCGGAGTGTCTTCTACACCAACCCCCCTAAAGAATTTATCGAGTCTAATCTTCAGTGTTGCTGGCTCAGAACTCTCCTTATTGAAGTTGTTTCCCTTTTAACATTTTAACAGTTGAAAATATTTTCTTACTACCAAATTTAAATGCTCCTATATTAATTTCATATACCCAATACGTGTTTTAGCCGCCTTAAATAATTACATACTTTTATCTTATTCTTTCTGAAGAACTTATGGGTACTTTCTGAAGTACTTATCTCATATCTCCCTTCTCATTTTTCCTATAGAGTCCAGGCTTTACATGCTGAGCTCCCTTAAGCTCTTCATAAATCATAGCTGCTAATCTTCTGATAGCAACCCTAAGCATGTAAGCATGTGTGCTAACTGTGCTGTGCCCTGGACTGTGGAGAGGCAAGCCCAAAAGTAGGGGCAGCCAATGTGTCCATGTGAATGAAGCAGCTACCTCCATTTATTGTCCAGCATAGGAAGGGCCAATGGAAGAGCAAGATAGCAGACTGATATAGATTGAATTGGAAGAAAAATGACAGAACCAAAAAGGGAAGGAGTGATAGACTGGAAAAGAAAGAAGGAATTTAAAAAAAACACCCTATAGCCTTGTCTATTCACAGAAGTAGTACCTCTTTAGATATTTTAGTACAATCTTTAATGTGGATTTAGTTGTACCAGTATAGTTAAAGTGGTACAATCATCGTATTGTGGATGCAGTTATATGGGTGTATATGTGTTTATATTGGTATTGTCATTCCCATATGGAAGGGGAATAAACTATACCAGTACAGCTAAATCCACATTAGAGATTGTACTATGCTAACTATATATGTAAAACATGATAACCCCACCTAACATGTTATATGGATACAAGAAATGTGGACAGACCAGGCCTAAGACTGACACTAAGGCCTAAGACAAGACTGTTATCTTGATTTTTAAACAGATCATGTTTGGCATTTGTGTTAAATAAGGTTCTACATCACTACTTTATTGTCCCATTAGCCTTGTTTGGATTCCCTCCAGTGTACGATGTCTCTATCTCAAGGAACCACAAACTGTACACAAGACTCCAAGTGAGGCTTCGGTATGGCTGTATGAAGATGAATTAATATCTACTAATTTTTACACACAATGAATGAACACCACCATCTGTTTTTCTTTCTGAAAATATTTTGTAAGAAAAAAATTAAAGAAATTGGCAGTGACAGAATGTGTGATCTTTTGTTTCTTCTTAGATAAGTACAGGGGCCATCTATTCCAATTTACTCACCTACTCCTCACAGCTGTCCTTCACTATGTCCAGCAACATCATTTCTAGAAAGAAGGATTCTGAAATATGGATTGATGGATATCACTTATTCCAGTGAAGGCTGAAAACTGTCAAAATATGGTTTGAAACTGGGAATATTACTAATGTTCAACCAGCAGAAAAATGTGATGATAACAATGACACTTATGTTTAATCCTAACCATTAGGACAGACCAGGGATTCTCAGACTATGGCTCAGATGTACCCTTTGGTTCACAGAGTCCTTCCTGATGAGTCACAGAATGGAACATTATGAAAACTGTGCAGTAGGGCAAGGAGCAGTGGTCCAATGGTGGATTTATATTTTATAGAGTGATCCACAGAGTGAAACAGTTGAAGAACTGCTTGCAGACAGTGAGTTTCACCAGACAAATACACTTTAAGAAAAGAACCTTTCAACTCGTTGACTATAAGTTTACCTTATTAAGAAGTACACACTTAGCTCTTAACGCCTTTCATGCATTTGTGTGTGATGGCATTTTTACAATATAGTAAATAGGATATAATGTCACAACTCTTATCAAATCTTATTCTCTCAAAGATCTCATTTGTTACTGCACAGAGAAGCCCTGAAGCAAGCCAAACCCATGCCTGAGCTCAAATTCCAAATCATGTACCTCTAATAAAACCAAAACTCTCAGATATGAGCTAAAACCTTTAGTGCTGCATATTATAAATCCTTTCATATAGTTTTGTATTTCTTAATCTTTTTAATTCTTCTGTAAACTCATTTGATCTACAGTTGAGTGCTCATTCTAGTATTGGGTATAATCCTCCACATCACTCAGTTGGCAAGCTCATCACACAGTCCTTCATCTTTCAAATTACCCCTCTGAGACAGAAATTATCTGATCTTAAATACAGCATCATACATTTGGTAAACTGAATGAATGCACAATATCCATAGTTAGCATATTCAGCCTGTCCGTCTCTGAACTGTTAGACAGCAGTGTGAGATCTTGTTTTTTCTCTACTGCACTGAGCTTTGTAGCCTCTCTTATTTGGGATCCAATTCTTTACCTTTGTTCAATCAAAAGGCTGGGAATTGTAACTGCCTGATAAAACAGAAACACAAGAGAAAAATCCACTGCCTTCAAAAGAAACAATTGAACAGGAGAAGCAAGCGGGTGAATCGTAATGAAATCTGCCCTTCCAAATTATACATTCCACAAGCATTGCCTTCTTATAGAATCATAGAATCATAGAATATAAGGGTTGGAAGGGACCCCAGAAGGTCATCTAGTCCAACCTCCTGCTCGAAGCAGGACCAATTCCCAGTTAAATCATCCCAGCCAGGGCTTTGTCAAGCCTGACCTTAAAAACCTCTAAGGAAGGAGATTCTACCACCTCCCTAGGTAACGCATTCCAGAGTTTCACCACCCTCTTAGTGAAAAAGTTTTTCCTAATATCCAATCTAAACCTCCCCCACTGCAGCTTGAGACCATTACTCCTTGTTCTGTCATCTGCTACCATTGAGAACAGTCTAGAGCCATCCTCTTTGGAACCCCCTTTCAGGTAGTTGAAAGCAGCTATCAAATCCCCCCTCATTCTTCTCTTCTGCAGGCTAAACAATCCCAGCTCCCTCAGCCTCTCCTCATAACTCATGTGTTCCAGACCCCTAATCATTTTTGTTGCCCTTCGCTGGACTCTCTCTAATTTATCCACATCCTTCTTGAAGTGTGGGGCCCAAAACTGGACACAGTACTCCAGATGAGGCCTCACCAATGTCGAATAGAGGGGAACGATCACGTCCCTCGATCTGCTCGCTATGCCCCTACTTATACATCCCAAAATGCCATTGGCCTTCTTGGCAACAAGGGCACACTGCTGACTCATATCCAGCTTCTCGTCCACTGTCACCCCTAGGTCCTTTTCCGCAGAACTGCTGCCTAGCCATTCGGTCCCTAGTCTGTAGCTGTGCATTGGGTTCTTCCGTCCTAAGTGCAGGACCCTGCACTTATCCTTATTGAACCTCATCAGATTTCTTTTGGCCCAATCCTCCAATTTGTCTAGGTCCTTCTGTATCCTATCCCTCCCCTCCAGCGTATCTACCACTCCTCCCAGTTTAGTATCATCCGCAAATTTGCTGAGAGTGCAATCCACACCATCCTCCAGACCATCTTATTTTACTTCTTTTAGCTGTTTCCCTTTGTAAGATGCAAAGAGGTTGGATAAAGTTTAAATGACTATGCTGCCCCTTTCACATCAAAAAATACAGAGAACTACTGACACTGAATGAAGGTGCTGCCTTTCCATCTGCCTGTCTGGGTTTGCCTGTCCGGTGGCATGAAAGAGCTTGCATGTTGATGAAAGAAGAACTTGGGTGGAACTACAGTAAACTAGTAACAGACGAATAAATGCAAAAATGTACCAAGGTCCTGCGAGCTGTAAAATGCAGTTAATCGAGTGCCATTTTTTTTTGTTCAAATGATTTTAATTATTGGAATGCACAATTTTTATAATATGCAAATAAAATGTTTTAAAACCTGAAAAAAAAATTGCGGGGAGAACAAAGATCCATTGTGTTCATTTAAAGCTCTCCTCAGGTAAAATGCTACAAACATGCTAACAAAGTCTACAGCAGTTCTTGACTGAAGGGAGAATGTCCCACTTTCCTTGCTGGTTACTCACCGGAGGTCCTTGTGATCCTGGTTTACCAGGGAGTCCTGGTTTACCTCGCCTTCCCTGGAAACAACAACAACAAAAAACAGACATTCATAAATATTGCATCAGAGGATTGATTTGCAATAAAATAATCGGTGTAAAAGCAAGACTGATTGTACTGTTTACTAACAAAAAGATCAAAAGCTACCTAAAGCAGAAATACCTTGTACTACTTATTGCAGCATCAATAAGAATGTATTGCCTTAGAAAAGTTCTTAATAACTATGGGAAACAATGTATTTGCAGCACAATAATTTTTTACTAGTACATTTTTCCAGCTAGGTTTCAAGAGTGAAAGCATATTGATAGGGAAGTAACATATAACAAACCTATCATCTTGACAATGTCCAAATAAATTATATGTTATTTGATTGTTCAATGGTCTAGGATGTAAAACTATAATGCAGCTGTCACCATAAGCCATATAATAATTGTACAGGTTGAAAATAACTAATTGAACATGGCCAGCACCCTATTTCTCAAAGCTGATTTTCAGCTGTGTCACTAGTGAACTGAAATAAGTGTGTCTTACTTATTGATCTCCATTACTTAAGTCATTTGTCACCTACTCAGATTCACAAACAGCTAAACCTCAATTTCAAGAGCTAAGCAGTTACACAGGAATCCAAGACCGGAAGAGAGTGGACTAAAATCTTTGAGCAGTCATATGTCTACTGGTATCATTTCAAAGTTTATGTATTTCACATATGGTCTTGAATTGTTAGGCTAACACACTATTACTTAGCTTATAATCAAAGGTTTCTTTATGGCTGATTGAGAGGAAAACCTTTGTTGATTTAAGTCAAACTGATAACATTTAATTTGAGATATTTTTGAGGTTTTTTTCCCCATAGTCCTATGTTACTCACAAGCTAAGTGTTGTGGCTGAAACTGAAATCACGTCAATGACCCATTAAGATTAATCTCACTTTGATGTGTTATTCTTGTCATGCTTTCAGTGTACACTAAACTCCCTTAGAACCATTAAGATTTATGCTATGAATGTAGAAGGGCAATAGTGTAAATTTTGTATTATTAATCCTTTATATGGAAAGAGTTTAGTTATGTTTCAAGTATTTTTCTCAGTATACATTTAAGAGCTGGAGCCATTGCATTGTAAGCTGTGAATGAGTATTAAGACCAGTAGGAATTACAATAATATTTATCCATAAAACCAAAACTTAACAGTGAATTTTTTTCTATTTCCAATAGACACTAGCTAACCTCAATATTTTACCTATTTTTAATACAAAACCCAGTAAATCTATATGTTCTAATTATTGGTAACTTTTTATTCTGAAACACAAAGAACCATATGCTGCTTTCTGAAACACATCCACCTTTCAGTGACTTCAGCAAGGTTACTGCAGGCATATAGGAAGGCAGAAAAGGGCTCAGAATTGTTATTTAATTCACTGGAGTTCAAAAACTAAGGCCACCAATGCCTTTCCTTGCATTCTGTACATACACCTGCAATAATTTAGCCAAATGCTGCCTCAAAATCAATGGGGATGCATAGGAGAAATTGAGGAAGAAGTTAACCAAACAGAAGTTTTTTAGAGTGTGTACATTCCTGTGTCTTACAAAGGCTATGTCGATTTCTGGAAGGTGAGGGGTGAGAGGGGATACAGCATTTGATTTTCAGAAATGCTCCCTGATTATGTAGTTACTACCTCTGTGTATAAAACATGCATTTGTGCCTGTAAATGCCAATCACACAAATACCTAACTAAGGCCTGATCCAAGTCAATGAGAATATTTCTACTGACTTCAATAGACAGAGGGCAGGCTCTGAGTGAACAAATGCAGTAATTCTGTTTTTGACACATAGCCTAAAAATTAAATAACTTACAAGCTTAAATCTTGATTGTAAAATTTAAATTTGTAGCATTTTTTAGACACAATAACTGCTGACAACTAATGTCAAGTTGCTATGGCAAAAAACACACATTTGTAGCCATAAAACCCACTTTTGCCCCGGATATGGGGTAACTATACATGCAAAAAGGTATAAGTTAACAATTTACAAATGCATCCAATTTATTTGCAAGTACCTGACTTAGCTAGAAAATATTTTATGTGTGTGCACGCCATTTTGTGTGGGTACATACAAATGTGGTTTTTTTGCAGGAGCAATATAGGAACATTATTCCGAAAATGTTCAAAAAATTAAAAAATGAAAATCCTTGTAGACACTGAATGATTGTCACAAATTGACATTGCTAGAGTATTACATAACTGAATAGATTATTTAAATACATGATAAATGATATATAGAGATGGGCCTGAGAAGCAGCATTTGGATTTGGGTCCAGATCTAAAACTTTCCTCAAATTTCAAAAAAGTGTTTGGACCTGAAAGTTTTCCTTTGACACTTTACAGAGTGAGGTTGGGGAATTAGTTCCAATCTGGTTCCATACTTCCTGAAAGCTCAGGAGTGTAGGGATCTGTAGTTTTGTTTGGGCTTATCTCTACTTTACAACTGTAAATATAGACTAATGTTTATCATTTTTATTTGAAAAATAGTAATCAAATGTATCCCCAAAGAATGTAATCAGAAATATGATGGCCTAAATACAAAATAACTATATAATGGATCATCTTTTTAAATAGCCTCTCTGAGTTATTAGGACCAACATACTGTCGATTTCTTTAAAGCATGTCCATGTTCCTGTTTGTACGTATTTAGGTTGTATTGAGGATGACTCTTAGAATAGTCTAAACAAAGTATCAAGGAAGTGTTAAAGGAAAAAAGGCAGGGTTTTGATTGATATACACAACTGTGAATGGAGTGTTAATTACATAGGAAAAACAAAATATTCTGGGAGCTAAATTTTTCTTTTTTTTTTTACATATGAGCCGAAATATAATTTATGATTGATGTTGCAAAATTAAAACAAGAGCAGATGGCAAACCTTTTAAAAATCATTTACATGAAAAAATCAGAAAGAGAAATAGCTGTTTTGGTTCTGTTTTTGCTTTGGCATTCATTAGTCACTGTCCATTGATACCAACAGTACTCTTTCTCCTACTCTATAGTTTATAATTTGTTTAACAGATAATGTTTTATGTCAAGTGTACAAGAGTTTATATGACTACAAGAACATATGCGGTACAGTTAGGGTGACCAGACAGCAAATGTGAAAAATCGAGATGTGGGATAATAGTAGCCTATGTAAGAAAAAGACCCAAAAATCAGGACTGTCCCTATAAAATCGGAACATCTGGTCACCATAGGTACATTCAACATTAAAGGACCAAAAGGAGATGAAAATAATAATATGAGGGGAAATATTCTAGGAATGCAAGGTTTATGTTTGTCAAGTGCTTGTTTCCAAATATTCATTGTTTTCTATTTCCTTTTATAACTGATATTTTTAAATGAGTTTTCTTTACAGAATTCATAAAAGTGAACACATAAGTTCATAAATGTGATAATTTTTAATCAAATTGGGTTTTTTAATAATAAACAATGTGCAGTAAAAACCAGTGAATTTTATC